GGAGAAGCTAGAAATTCTCTTTGCCCGTGTGTGGGGTCGAACAAATACGGCCTTAGTATAATGATTGGCATGTTTTTGTTTGTTTGTTTGTTTGTTTGTTTGTTTGTTTGTTTGTTTTTGTTTCGTCTTTTTGTTTGTTTGGTTATTGTTGTTTGCTTGGTTTGTAGATTTTGCTTTGATGTTTGGTTGGTGGGTTAATTCCATGTTAGGTTTTTAAAATTACAATGATAATGTTTCACGCTTAGGAAGTTTAAGGCTTACTTGCGATTAAATTATTCTTTGACTCCAGAACTCATTCCAAGTTGCATGTGCTGTATTTCGTCGGTAAACTAGATGTGAAATTTATTACATCGCTCGTGTTGAGCTTGAAATCACATTATCGACTTATCATACGTTTTACCTAGTTTTATTTCGTTTAAAGCTTTGCATTTACGTTTAAAAACGTTTTGTTGACTCGGGCCCAGTCTACCGCGTTTGGAGCCAAAACGGAAAGAGACTTTTTTCCAATTTTGGAGAAGAAAAACGAAAATAAATTATTTAGTAAGCCTTAGTACGGAATATGTAATATTCCATTTAAGTGCCTAATATTTTCTACGAAAAGGAATTTTTTAATTATTGCATTGTGATGTGGTCTAAAAGATAGCACACTTTGGCCAATCTGCGATTCAATTATTTGCAGCCACTTCATTTTTGCCTCACGTAGCCCTCCCCAATTCCCACACGGGTGGTTTTCACCGGAGAGGTTGGTTGAGGAGAGTGAGAATTCATATCCATGACAACCATGATGACCATGTATACCTGACTTAAAGAGCGTTTGAATGATAGGCAAGCAAATGACAGGCTTTCAAACAAATTAGAAAGAGATGACGTCTTATGGACTGGTTTGAGCAGCTTTGTACCCATAACGAGTTGAAATAATTTGTGTTTAAACTATGCATAATTTTTTGTGTGCTTTCAGCCGGTATGGAAACAAGAAGGATACATTCTGCAGGCTTGGGTCGCGTCAATGTCCGACAACCGACACTACAAGCACGCAATGTACATGTACTAACAACACATTCATTCCCTCAGTTGTTATGCTAATTGAGCACGGAATAACGGCTACAAACTGTTAAAACACTGAGTAAGAATGAAAATGAATAATTTTTTGCAGCCTTCGCCGCAAGGATAGAAAGAAATGCGCTGAAATGATGGCTGATAAGAGACTTCATTTGTAATATGATGGACGTTTTCGTATTAAAAGACATGTTGGGTCTTCTTGCCTAGTTGAATTATTTAGTACGTTCTTTCAAGTTTTTTTTTTTTTAGTTGTTACTTTGATACCATAGCTGTTTTCACGTTGCCGAGCAACAAAGCTATTATAAAGACTTTGGTTATAGACTTTGTTCATAGAGTGTTATGAAAGTTGATTTAAAACAAAGCACAGACTAACCAAATACTTTGTTATCTTAGTATGAAGTAAAATGCTCCTGTAGAAGGGCAGCTTGGAAAAATAACGAGTTTTAAGTTGATTTGGCTCTGCGTCCAAAGATAAGAAAAGTGGTTTGGTCGTTTGAAAGCAAGCAACTGGAAAGACGCCCGCGTTATCACGGAAATAAGCTTCTTTGTGATTTATTCCACCAAGTATCTCTTTCTTTCTCAAACGATCAATTTTTTGTCGGGATTAATTTGAAGCTTTGAAACATTTACAAATGTCGCTTCTTTATCACCTATCGTAACTTTTGAAATTTACCTCGGAGTGAGCTAGGAAGGGCTTCCGTGCGACAAATTAAAGCGTTAAGCTTGACTACACTGATAGTACAACGGATCTCTTTTGTGACCAGCCATCTGTGCGGAGGTCCAAGCACCACAAAAAATATATTTTTGAACAACTGCTCGAGTTAATTAACATTAAAAGATAAGAGTTGGTATTCTGCGTCAAATGGGAGTTGCTGATTAGCACCATTCCATCAGGAAATTGTACAAAATCCGGTCAGTACTTCTTCCTTTAAATTTAAATAAAAGCCACGTTCTTTTTAACTGATTGCCAATAAACAGAGGAGATGTGTTGAAAAAATCATATCCGTATCTTAGATAAATTAGATTTTTCTGGAATATACTTACCCAAAATAACCCAGTCCCATTATCTAAGTTTTCTTGTTCACACTGTCTGTGTGGTAACAAAAGTTAAACACAAATGTAAGAGTTGGTATTGTGTATGAATTTTACGATATCCAAATTGAATTTTTCGATTAAATGGAAGAAACAAATTGCTCAGTTCCTGGTCCATCCTGATTGCTTGTTTTATCGAAGTGTATCATCGACATCATCAAAATCTGGAATATTGTGGTTCCTCAGTGCTGCGACTGTTGTAAGGACAATTAGAAAATGTGAAGTGAAACTAGCACATTCGTGCTGCCATGTGCAGTTTACCTTGTGTGTGTAATTTAGTAATACATCTGTTAGTAACAATTGAACCGAGAAAATTCAGTTACCAAATAATGTGGTCAAAATTACAAATGGTATTCCTGCAAGCGTTATTTTTTATTTTGTCTCAATCTGTTTGACAAACATGCTTCCTTCTGTCGCTAATTGGAAAAGAGTTGACACTTTGGCTTCGTTTTAATTATTTACAAACCAAAAATCAGATATGCATATGAATGGAGCGGCGCTGGTATCCGGCCGATAATCGATGTCAAAATCCGTTCGCTCGACTGAAATTTTATTAATATTCCTTCAAGGATGTTTTGCTTTTTATTGTTCTTTTTTTAATTATCTTTTTTTAAATACAATATTTGCCACAGGTTCAGTGTTTTTTCAGGTAGCAAATCGACAAAGGTAAAAAAATTGGTCACTTTAAAGTTTAGAGCTTGTTAAGCACCGAGACGAGAAATATACATACAAGTCTTCAACATGAAATAACTCGCAAAGTGCCGAGGAGGTGGTTACTGTATTCCCAAAAACCTTTTGTCCTAAGTGAAATAATAATGATATACATTTTAGCGATACATTAGCAGAAAAAAGAAAACAGCAGATGATTTTCGTTTCTCTTTACCCATCTTGTTAATATGTACCAGGTGATGAATGCGTTTCAGGCCTTTCAGGTTTGGACACAGTCCAGTTAATTACCTCACGATGCATAAAGATAGCTGACTGAATTAAGATGGAACATTTCTTTCCCTCGAAGCTCATCTGCTTTGTAATATATTAGCTTTAAAGATCCAGTATAATTGTGTGCATTAAACATGAAACATTCTACCGAATGTATTTCTGATCGCAGATGGTATTATTTCATTTACATTTATATTAAAAAAAATAAGGATAATCAATCTTTTTCTTGATGTCAAAAGTATAGTTGCATATTTATGTGACATTCTCCTGTGTCAAACAAAATGAAGTAAGGGCTTTTGCCAAATGAAATTTCCTGGTAATTTTCATTTGGCTTGTTGATATTCTTCGTCTTAATTCAAAAGATACCTCGTATAACATAAAGTGAAATTTAATTTGTCATAACAAGTTTTGGATTAAGACTCCTGTCCAGTGATATTTTTAAAATGATGCATGACCAGTGAATAAGTAAGGTAAATATTGTATGTCAGAGGATAGGTTTAAAGGCGATATTAAGTAAAGTGGCTTGATGGGAAAAGTAAACACAATACACAGTTGAATGAATTCTCAAGGAGTTTAAGTGAGAAAATTCAATACGTTCGAGTATCGGTGAGCAGGATTCTCATAAATCTGGCCATGATCTTTCGGGGTTTTTTTAAAATGTAAAGTGATGCCATAGAGGTTACAATAAATTCACGTCTGTCTCCAGAGAACTGCCATCGAAAGCAAGTGAAACGAGAAATAATCTGGGGAAAAAACAAGTGCTTTTCAAATTTTACATAATACTCATTGTCAAACTGAAGTTGTTGGTTTTTCGTACACTAATTAATTCAGCAATTAAATGCGTTGAGGTCAGTTTGAGGTGTTATTCAATATAGGTTTGGAGGAAAGAAGCGAATTTTTAATACTTTCCAGACCAAATTGCAACCAGTTCTGCAAAGCCTTTTTTGTTTGAAAGCGATTTTTCAAGACACCATCGTAAGCGTTGGGCATAAATTTATGATTAACTTTAGTGACTCCAATTTACACCGCCAACGTAATGGTCGATTTGCAAGTGTGTGATAAAAATGCTTATTTCCATGGCAAACCAGATGTGTAATACGATCACAAGCCATTGTAGTTTTACCGAAACTAGCGGAAATATGGAAGAAAATACGACGTAATTGCCACACAATGGCGGTAACCTCTGCATGGCCCAACAAAGATATTAAAGTTTTCAGGAAAAAAATAAATTAAAGAAGAGAAGAAACCAGAAATCGGAAAAGCAATTAAAGTGAAGCCTTATAAAAGACTTTTGTTCCAACGTCTGAATAATCGGCAATCGTTTTAACAAAACTTTTTCGAAGTGAATCTGATACGATTCAACAAATTTCGCAGTTTTGGCAACAGTCAAGTGAATGGGCAAACACTTCGTGTTGTTTTTCTTTTTTTTCCTGGAAATTGTGCCACAAATTAATCTCGGTTGACAAAGATCTATAACTTTGCGACCATGTCAAATTACAATAAACACAGATGGTCTCACGGCGATTCAGAAAGAAGACCTGTATATTTTAAGCATTTGTAGTTTTGTTCTTGTTTAGCCAAGAGGAAAGGTGAGACACTGCCTTGGTTTGTTAATTGTACATTAAAATAATGCTTGTCAAACATTTCGTCTCGCTTTTGACAATGTCAAAGTGATTCCGTGCGGAGTCCACCTCTGCAGAAAGTGGGCAATTTACTTTTGCGCAAAAGACGTTTTGTGGACAACTTTGATGTATTTATCGTATTTTATCAGATACATCACTGTAATGGCCCTATTTAGCCGTATCCGTCCGGCAAACTGCGAATATTTATCGCTTTTGACAACCATGATGAATAGAATTTTGAATAGATGATAGGTCAATTTGCATTTTTCTTTCTTTCCTTTTTTTTATTTTTTGCATTCAGCGGTTCTGAATAGAATGGTCCACACACGCAAGCCAACAAAACATGTTATCCTGTTTTTGTAAAAGTTCTCGGCCGCAACGTAATACGCAAGTAGTCATCAAAGATCCTTCGACATCGAAGCGCTTTTCAGCGGCTCCTTTGCAGGCTGAAGGAAACTATACAATGGACTTTTCTCTTTTGTCTCAGTATGTGAAAAGAGTGAATTAAGACACAAAGATTGCGCACAACATTTAGGTCTTTTATTGACTGTACAAACTTAAATACAGCTGAAAATTCCCAGGGCAAAACAACGTGGCCTCTAGACGCTGCATTCAAACATTGTTAGTATTGTGGCCTCGCAAGCAGTCTTGTAAAACTGAAAGTAGTTTTCTTTTCGAAATTTCCTTTAAAGAGCGAGCACTTTTCGAAAGTGTCTGTTAAGATATCGACGGGCGTGCCGCTCTTAACCGCATACTACTTGTAACTTCTCACAGCTAAGATTAAAAGGAAAGACTTATTCATTTTAGTTAGCACTTTTCAACAGCTCATCGCCTTACACAAGAATAGTTTGATATTACCTTAATAACTTAGTCAAGTAGATCGGGATTAAGAAGCGAGAACTACACGGGCGCGAGACAAAACCATTATTAGGAAACGCTTATAACCGGTATCAAAACGTTCTTAGCTGAATGAGAAGATAGATTTACGCGAATTAACTTCAGCAAATATACACGACTTCTTCATTTCGCCCCACCAAAATTATGCGACGAGACTCTGCTAAGAACAAAAGAGAAATTTGAATGTCGGTGAAGCATGGTCCTTTAAAGCGTCTACGTATAATACTGAGCAATTCTAACCAAGAGAGAATTCAAGGTCCTTTAAAACTATCTTTCTATAATTTCAACTACTTTTGGTACTTTGTTCGTCTAAGAACTAACATGGCAATCTTTTCTTTGACAACTTTAAATACATCCAATCTTGTAACTAAAACCTTTTAATAATTTGTATTCAGCATTCGCTAAAACACCCAAACCTCACCTAGATTGAATCTATTAACTTCAAGAGATTGTTTTCGCCTTTTAATTGCGCTTTGGTGCTAACTTCGGTTTTAAACCTTTGAATTAAACTTAAAAAGAAACAAACTGTTTTGCTTCTAGCGACTGCTTTTCAAACAAAAATTACCTTAAAGACAGTGTTCTTAAAAACTCCTTTGCTACGTGCATTCGTATGAGGTACTCCATTCTTAGATATTGTTTGTCAGCTCTAAATATTAATCGGTATTTCGGCCATCCCGTATGGGTATGAACTGTACGGGTTTGGCTGTGAATAGTTCGGATGGTGATTCAGCGAGGAGCCTTTACCTTTTAAATAGACCGAAGTTTGATCTTGGTATCCATAAGTTGGCGGGTAGCCACACGGAACGCTCGCTACACTTGAAGAGTTGGGAGCATACGATGAACTATTTTCGCTTGACATTGGAGTCGAGAAAGGACTCAGCGACCCCGATATTTGCGGTGGCACCGGGCAGGGTGGAGGTATTTGGTTGAACGAGTTGTAACCCAGACTGTTACTGCTCTGCTGTAAGGTGGCGTAGCCAATACTAGGAGCTCCCTTGCTCCAGTAGTTTGCTCCATAGTTGGGATAAACAGACGGTGGGGTCTCGGAGCTTTCGTAACGAATAGAACTCGAGCTTTCGAAAAATCCATTGACACTGGGAATAATGCCACTGCTTTTTTCTTGTCCCAGCATATTCGGCGGGTTGTTCTTCTCCTTTTTGCGCCATTTCGCCCGGCGATTTTTGAACCACACCTGGAAGAAAAAAAATATTATTTGTCAAATCTATTGAAACCGTTGTTGTATTTTGCTGTTACGTGTACATTGATGTACAAACGCATTAGCCGATGAAAAGTGATGCGCAATCTAATAAATAATGTGGTGATAAATTGCAGTTATGAGTGTTTTGTGAATCTCGTCGTTAATAAAATGAGATACAAACACAAAAGTCTGACATTTATTTAATAGTCTACTTAAAAATCAAGCTTCCCTTCTGGCTAAAACCCGAACGTTCTTAAGAGATAAACGTTTTTAATGTTATCAATGAAATGTTGAAGCACTGAGTGTTAAAGGGGCCATATGAAACCAGAGTAAAATGTCGACGAGCTACTGTTATTGAAAGCCCAGTTAATACGGGGCTTTTATTCCTCGAAGCTAAGTGTGAAAAGAGAAATGAGTCCCAACAAGTTTTTTTCACACATTTGAGTTTGTAATTAGGCAGCTTTCATAAAGAGAAGACGTCGGCAGGGCGCAGCAAACTACCATTTAGCTTGTTTTTAAAGACCGGACATTTCAGCGAGTTCGTGTATCGATATATTTTCAAGATTTCGCCGAATTCTTTTAAAAGGAAACATAAATTTTACCCGTTATTCAGCGTTTTCTATAACCATTTCAGAAAATTCACCTGTCTTTGCTAATCGCCACAATACAGGTACAGTTGGTATTCAGGTATTCGCAAAGGTGTTAACACTGAAAGCCTTCCAGTTCTATCGTCTAGGTGGTACAGAAGATTTAACGGGACAAAAAACGCTTAAGAAGGCTAACAAGAAATCTGAGCACGAGATGTTCGACTTCTTGATACTTTTTTTCGGTCGTCCCGCAACTAAATGGACGGGAATCGAACACTAGTGGTTTGTTGACTGCCAGGTGCTTTTGAAACGGTTTGGCGAATCCTGAAGTAAACAATGTAATTGCACGGAAATACATTTTGAAGAAATGCATTAAAAAAGCAAACATCTTGACGATATTCGAGTCTTTAAAGTGATTCTAATCCCAATTTACTAGTTCTCCGCGCGATCGCGGTATTTTATCAACCCAGAGAATGAATGCTAGCCATTACCAGAGTTACTTTTAAGGCGGTACCATTAGCTTGAATATGTTCCAGGTTATTCTGTGGTGATGTCAATAATTTACGCGTCGCAGCACGAGTAGAACCAGCCTGTTCGCCTTTTTCATTCCGTATTCAAAATGCAAGACTTAAGTGGCGCTTGTTTTTATGCAAACAAACATGCCATATTCCTTGTAAGCTTGGCGATAATAAAAAGCGATCTCTTTTTGGCTGGAAATGGAACAGTATCTCGGTGGAGTTTCTGCGGGCTGTTTTCGTGCATCAAACCAAGCGTTTGATGATTCCGTTGTGTTTCAATTATTCAACATCGCCCAACTGAGACTTCGCCCAAGCGAGCGGCCGGCCCCGACCCGAACTGACTGTTTGTCTAATTACACTCTACATACCCTGACTCGCGCTTCTGTGAGACTTGTCCACATGGCGATCTCTTCTCGGACAGCCATGTCGGGATATCGATTCCTAGAGAACATTGCCTCCAGCTCCTGAAGCTGATACGAGGTGAAGTGCGTCCGTTGTCTTCGCTGCTTTCGTTTCTGCTTCAACCCATCGCCATCCATGGAGGCACTCTCTGCAGGACAAAACGTAAACAACATTTATCGAATGATTAGCACCTTCCGGGGAGAATAAGAGGAAGCAAAACACGATCCGCACCAACAGACACTGGAGCGTTCTTCCTGGAATGTGCCAAAAGTGCTCATTTCACTGCGTACAGCGCGTTCGCACGTTCAATTGTGAAAAGTAAGAACACATATTGTTGTTTCAGGCAAGATTAACACTTAATCCCTGAGAAATCCTGAACTAATTAGAACTTAGTTATCTAGAATCCTGGAAGGTAATCTACGTTCTTCTTCCCCGAGAGGAAACTCTTACCTTCAAGTGAGTCCACGCACTTTTCTGACAAGTCATTGCTCGGCTGATTGTTGTTGATGTCGTACGACGGCAATTCAGGCGAGTCTCTTGGGGAACTCATCTTACTCGCGAGTGTTTTTAGCTGCTGAAATTTCTCTGCGCGATGATTTCTTGTGACACTGCAAGAATCTTTAAATCACCCTAGGCGCTGAGTTGGACTTTCGAATGGTATGCCTTGATTGCGGAGGTAAGCTGACACGCTATAGGCCGGGCCGCGATCCAACCGTCATGCGTCCAAGTTGGGTCTGTGACTTTATGCGTCACTGAGTTTCTTTACAAACCTTACTTCGAAGCTAAAAGTTCCGTCAGCCAATCAGAGCACGGCCTCATTATAAATAAACTCATATCTATATTAATTACATTTTAACGCTTTCAATTGTTTAGTTTGAAAAATACTTCGCAAATGTCAATTGCGGTGTGTGGCGCCGACTCTTTTGTGAGGTGCCGTTGGCTAATTATCCGCCGGAAAATTTCATTCACGTCTTTGCGCCACACAGCAGAAAAGAACCGAGGAAGGCACGGAACCTCGATACCACGGCATCTTTATCGAAGTGATGTGTTCCAGGCAAGTTCAAGCCAGTGGTTCGTTGAATTGCTTGCTCGATATTTTTTTTTACTTCAGCGTGCGATTGAACGAAAGAACCCGTCTGCGCTTACTTAATAAAGTATCGTATTCCTAATAATGTGTAAATAAAGTTGACTGTGCCTTGGCGAACAGGCAAAACAAAACTTGACAAGAATTTGTTGATTAAATTTTATTCAAGTGCTTCATTGTCGAGCTAATACGTGTTGATAGGAAGCCATCGAGTTGTAATTAGGCGTGCGGGGTTTTGATTTGTAAACCGTTTGACTTTTAGCTAGCAAGAGGCTTTTTCTGTCATTCTTGTCTTGCATCCAATTGTAAATTCAAGGACATTTAGACCGTCTTCAAACAGTTTAACGGTTAAGTGTCGGGTGATAAAAATGGCCTACATTGAAATCCATGATATAAGTCGTGAAAAACACTTTTGCTACTTTTTTGCGCATGTCGATATCACGGCAGAGTTTGGTTTCCCACTTCTTTCTGATTAGATTTCTAATGTTTGTTTAACGCACAAAGGCAAAATTTTCGTGAAGTCAAAACTTTATTAAAGTCCATGTATCGATTAATTCGTTATAAAAGACAGTGGCGAGTAAACAGAACCTTTTGAAACCGCTTTGTGTTGTCTACAATGAACAGTTTATTACATTCGGTCTTGGCGCCTTCCGCAGATTTGCTTCATTCGTGTATTTTGTGATTTTATTGGATTCACAATGACGCTTGGATGTGCGAGAAATTCGTGAATTCAAAATTGAGACTTGACGTAAAAAGCGATTTAAGAAAAGTGTTTTCACACTAACTACAAATGCTGAAAGCTTACAATATTCTCGATAATTTTCTCATAGAGCTTCTCATCCCAAATAAAGTTCTTACTAAATTTCATTCGGTAAGAAATTATTTCCTAGGCGAAACTTGTTAATATATTCACTATTTGTAGAACTAGTTCCTCTACCGACAGAGCGGGTAATGTTTACAGAAATCCTTTTTCCTTTTTCCGATTACGTCAAATAGATCTGAACAGTGTCTGTGCTCTTGTTTTAGTTAGCTTTGAGAGTGTTCGTGGCTTAGCGAAAAGCCACTTCTTCGATTTTTGTACACTGTCTAATCTTCTCATGGGGAAGAAAATTATATTCATCAAATACTTAGGGACTATCCGTGTTGTCCGTCGGCTTGCTCTATCGCTTGCTAATTAGCTATTAATCTTGAGAAAAGCTAACAAAGATTTTTTAATTAACTAGAAACACTTTGGAAAGTACAAGTGAAACGTCGTTCTTCCTGAAGTAAGCTTGTGTTACTGTGTGTTCAGCTAAAACGTCCATTTATAGAACAAGCTGCCTTAATTGGACTTTTAAAGGGAGAGTATATGATTTATACCCAGCATTGTAACCGACGACAAACAAAAGAATCACTTTGCAGGGTACTATTTCCTTCCGAAAGGAACCGATTGGGGCGAACTGTCATTTACACGGAGTTTGATAACTCAACCAACGGATGGCATGTACAACACAGAAAGAGTATGGAGTCGTCCCTGTTTGCGAATCTGTTCCCTTCGAGATAAAAAAGGTCTGTAAAAATTTATCAAAAGTTTTCAAAGATAAGCTACACACTATTTTTGAAGAGAAAAACTTGGTTTTCTGCTTTTCATAATAACAACTTTACATGTAGTTAGATCGCAGATGTAACTCTACTTGTGAATAATTTATTGGGGTTTGTGAACTTGTAAAGTACATTTTGAAAATAAAAATGTTTATTCCTGGTGAATTATTTTGGTTTAATTCAGGTGCGCAAAGTATGCTACATCTCTCAGTGTTTGTACGACATAAACTGACTATGTTCCACTGTCTCCCAGACAACATCAGAAACGTCATGTTGTACCGATTTGTAATGAATAAAATGGCTTTATCGACTGGTCGTGTAAAGCTGATGCAGTTCTCTCATTATTTTCAACGGAAATGAATTCCAGGATTTCTGATCTTGGTATTCGATTTTTGAGTCCCCCTTGATAGTTTTTTTCCGGTCGATAGCGAAATGTATTTCCAAATATTCTGATCCGTTAAATTGTTGATTACACCGATTTTAACTGTGGCTGTTTCTCCCTATTTAATATGGCTCAAGAGTATATATATATCTTTTACTAGTAGTCGATGTCATGCTTTGTTTTCTTTTCCTTTGGCCTTGCTGGTATGAAGATAGCAGTTCAGTCGTAGATATATAATGCAGATTCAAAATCGTCCTCGATGGCGATTTTTCACTGAAGTTTGTTATGTCCCATAGATAACATAAATTTGGAATCGATCCGGATTGACTCATCATGTGTCACTTCCTTCCGCGCATCTCCTGGAGAATAACTAACTTTCAAAGTTTTGTTTTAGCTCGACTCTTTGACAATTAGAAAACAGAATTTTTCTGTCGTTTACGACATGCCGTGGCCCAATTTTCGACGGCAGTTCTCTGTAATTTTGAACAAAACAATTGGCTGACCCTTCAGGTGCCAAGTATAAAATATCAATTCTTGTTCCACAGATTGTCAAACCTATCTGAATGATAATTCCTAAACTTCGATACAATGCAGTACATCAAGACACCCTCACACCATGTTGATGGTTTTCGTGATTCCCTTACCTGTTCGCTTGAGGGAGAGAAAAAAACACTTCAGCTCACTCTTGGGACGGTTACTCGTAGGGAGAGTCGGAGAAGAAGATCGAGATTACTATATTGAGCACCGGAGGCATATTCGAGTCTCCACCGTGGTGAAAGTGAAAGTGTATCGTGTCCATGTGGTAGAAAAAAAAGTTCAAATCTGGACAACGAAGAAATAATTTTTATTCCAGCCAAAAGTTTTCTGAACCACTTAAGTAGCCGTTATGATGCGGGAATTTATGTCTGCATATCCTTCAGAAAACTTTTACGACCAAGGAATTTTTCAATTAACAGGAAACCTCGACCTATTATTACTTTCTTTGTGTTGTGGCCGGTTGCCCTTGTAGTGAAGCGATGACAAACATAGTGGATTGTCACAAGTGATGACTGCCAGGACATTGATCCGAAATTAAAAAGTTATTACCTCTTTTCAGTGGATTGAGGGAAACGCAAACAAGCCATTGTTATAGGCAAGTGACGTCTGGTGCAGACTCCACTGGTGCAATAAGCGGTATGGCTTTCGCGGTTTACTGAAGCAATAAGATGAATAAAACACAACAAAGAGCTTTCTAGTTGACAGATCTTTGGGTCTGTTAGCTTTTCGAACTGGAAACATTGAATAAATTACGTGGGTTTTGATAAATAAACCAACCATTTGGGCGATTCATCCTCAGGTTGTTTGCTTTTAACTTGGGCAACTTGTCGTCTGTGGAAAAGCTAGATACATCTTAAGCAGACTGCTATCTTACCCTTGTCGTGCTTTTATAGAGCTTAACCAATTTGTTCTTAACTAAGATGTTTGCTTGCCTTTTTCTGAGTCTTAATGATTTTATCCCATTCAGACTAGGGGAAGGACAGTTCTGTTTTTCTCAGCGAGCTTGCAAGCCCGAAATCAAGAGCAGCCAAATCGTTAAAACCGAATTGGCCGGCCCATCTGTTGTTGATCTAGGCTAATCGAACAGAAAATTTACATTTAGGACCAAGGTGAAACGATTTTAATTGCCCTTAAAAAGTGAGTAAAATCAGTGCCTCAGAAAATACTCGTATACCTTCATTCCTGTGTATGACCGTGCATGTGTATGCACTGTGTTAGCGCCAGCATATGTCCAAAAAAAACTTTTAGAATAGAAGAGGTTCTTCAACCCTTACACTTATGAAAGAGTATCCAAAACAGTTACAGCATAAGTACAAATCGTTTCTAGTACAGCAGACAGGTCAAGTGTTTTAGTGGTGTGTTGTAGCCCAGGTGTCTATCCCATCCATTTAAACGGGTGGCTTAGGAGATTACGCTGTTGACACCAGATCTTCGTTTCGTGACCCTATTGTTCCAAAGCTTGTACACTCCGATGAATGAGCCTAGAGACAAGCTTAAAAACAGAACGATCTCTCATTACGGATATCAGTTGGCCTGAGCAGAGGGTGTAATGGTGACCTAGTCGGCAAACAGACATCTTTTGTTCGACGACTTGGCTGAGATTTGGCAATGTTGGTTCCTTCTGATGTCTAAGAAAAAGGAATTACAAAGGTGTGGGCGCTGCTTGGAATGAAATGCGTTCTAGTCGGTCAGTAACGCGGTGAGCGTTGCCACAAATTGGTGTCTGTCTTCAGGTCCTTCTTGCGATGTACTGTTTACACGGTTTTGGAATCTCCATAAAAACTGTACTCCAATTATTGAGTTTAGTTATCTAAAAGGAGTGAACCATTTCCAGCATTCCTCATTGGTCAGTGTGAAACTGCGTACACATTTACTGTTTAAAATCAGAGAAATTTGCGCTAAAACATTGAATAAGAAAAGTTTATCACGTGTTTTGACAATCGAGATGGGACAAAGCAATGTGTATCTCTCGTTTGAAACAGTGGTTTAGACCTACAGACAATGCAGATAACCAGTAATTACGTTGAAGTATGAAATTCATTACTAACCATGTCATATATGGGCGATGGCTTTTACTTTTATTGTTCTTCAGTCAATGAATGCATCGAGGTAAAAAGGTCTGAGAGTAGCTCTTTGGTTTGAATTATTTCTTGTCGTTAGTTACCCGCTGCAAAAGAACCATTTCCTTACTACGGTTGCCAGTTTGAAAAATTTCGTGTTACATTCCCGAGTTTCATTTCATACTCGGTACAACATCAAGCTGCTGTTTAATAGCTTGCAAGGGTTTATTTCTCAGAAAAAAATAAGGGTTGATATTATAGAACTATCATATTCGACTCCAGGATGGAGTTTCTAAACGTGCTTTTCGACTCACATCATAATGTATTCATGATCGGAAACCGCGTGTTTACCCCCTTATGTAAACGTTTTCAAACGCTTAATGACAAGATTGCATAAAGACACCAAAAAACACGAAACATTTCCTTTCAGAGTAGAACAAAGCGAGACTACAGGAAATGAAATTACCATAGCGGTTTCTTTTG